GATCCTCACTTTGTTACCAAATCAATTAATAAAAACATTTATATTAATTTTAGAAACAAGAACTAGATATGTCATGTGAAAAATCATACGATAAATTCATTCGAACTTCGTGGAGACGACTAAAATGCATCCGAGGCGCACGTGTAACACTGGCAATTCGAAGTAATTTTAACTTTTTGAAATTCATTCCTATATACTTATGTGTGTATATAGTACAATGTACAAATACTCTTTTCTTTTATTCTTAGGTGTTTTTCAACAAAAATTTGCCTTAGAAGACTCAGATTTCGATAAAACGTCACAAAAACATTTTCAATACGCGCACGACCGTATTCTAAAAAGGGGCAATCAAGACAACCGAACAAAAGCGACAGCAGCTGAAAACTGCAGCGTGACTGAAAACGACAGCGCGGCTGAAAACTGTAGCGCGGCTGAAAACTGCAGTACAGCTGTATAATTTTGACATATGTACCTTACGCGAGATTTTAGACTATTTGGAAAAATTGCCAAAAAACATAATTTAACAATAATTCTTAAAAAAACAAGAAAATGCAATTCAGTTTTTATTTTTTTACGAAGTAATTTGTTCTTGTAAACCAGCGTCATTTAACGTTTTTACATAAAAAAGTAAAAAATAAATAAAATTAAAACTGGTACTGCCGAATAATTTTGATTTCTAAATTTAAATTATTTAAAAAAGTGAACAATCTTAAACACTTTGAAATGTAAATGAAAACTGCGGCACAACTATTTTCATATTAATATTTTTATGTTCAAAAATTAATAAAAGTCTGAATGCAATGCTTATTGAAATGTCAATATAAATAAAAACAAATTAAGATTTTATAAAAATGTAAGCTCAAACACAGCGTTAAGAACATAAATTTAATTTTAAACAATACAAAACAAAAATTCTAATGAAAACTGCAGCAAATCAATATAAATATCGTTACCTTAATATAGAAAGGCCCTATCGCACATTGTCGCTGAAATACAAAAAGGCATAACTAAGTAAAAATCCAAAATTACCTGTTTGATAGCTTGTGATGCAATTCATCGAATTATATGTTATTATGTTAGGGCTTTTTTGTATTTCAGCGACTATATGAGTTAGGGCATTTCTATATTAAGGTAACCATATGAATGTACCTACATATCGTTACCTTAATATAGAAAGTTTATTTGCAGTGGTTGTAAATTATGCTGTTTTTAATTGAGGCCTATAATAAGCTAAATGGCGTAAGCAGTTCTTTTTGAATTGCATTAGGTTTTCAGTGAATAATCTACTTTTTATATTAAGGTAACGATATGTGCATACATAAATTTATATGGATTCAATATTAATTTAAACTTAAATAACATAAAAAATACAAGCAAACAATTTCTAAAGACTTTGAAAACGTAAATTCAAGGCTGAATAATAACGGTAAAATTTTTGTGATTGAATATTTAGCACTTTCATGTACAAAAATTATCGTAACCACATGTTAATTTAATTTCAAATAACAGTATTAAATATGTACAGGTATATATATACGTATATACGTGCAGTATTTTGATAAACCTAAACAACAAAAGCAATTAGATTTTTTTTACCACTAATTTTTGTTTATTTTGAATATGTTTTTTTTTTTAATAAAAATATATGCAGTTCATTCTATAGCATCAACCTTATAAATAAAAAATTTAAACTTTATACAAAACACTCAAAAACTCCACAAGTTTCAAAAAGTTGTCATCAGAATTTTAAATTTTGTAATCAGAATCAGAACTTTTTGGGTTTGCAGTTTTATGGCGCATTCAATTTCAGTATAACAAAATGCAAATTTTGAATGGCTAAAAATTTCAATTGGTTTTTTTAAACTTTTTTACTGACGGTATTCCGCATATTCCTACATGTAACGCATGAAAAGAATTTATTTTTAATGGATGAAACGCAACATCAGCGAAAAAAAATGTATCACAAAATTAAAATTTGTTTCTTTTAGTTTATTACTTTAAATGCCAAAAAAGAACATAACTATTCAATAATAATTTATATACATGTAAATGATATTTATAAATTAAAAATATATATGTTCATAATGAAATAGTACAACTACATATATTATATTTTTGATTCAAACATATCATATTTTTATGATAACCGATTAACAGAAAATTAATTCAATTTTAATTTGGTCCTAGATCATGTAAATAATAAATTAAAGTATTCAATAACAATAATAAATAGTTTAATACATTACTTTTATATAAAAATAGTTTTGTTTTGCTTTTTCATAAAGTGGGACCAAAATGGGAAGGGGACAAGAAAAACAATCGTTAGCAATATTGTATAAGATCCGAAAGAAATTTCATAAACAATAGGCAAACCAATTCGAAAGTGATCCGCTAACGATACGTTTTCAATACG